GTTGATTAATTTATTGAATTACATAGGCTGAATAATTTATATTAAAACTATATTGTATCCTAACTACATCGTTACAGTTCATGTCGCCACGTCCGTGCATGTCATGCTCTGTCTGATGCTCTTAGTTTCCTTTTTAAAACGCTTCCTCAACTGGTTTTCATGTCTAACGCACACCACTTTTCCCTGCATACTTACCATAATCAATATAATGTATGAGGACGATAGTTTCTTAGGGCTCATTTCAACAGTCCGTTCGGACAGAAATTCACAGGCACTGTGTCTGGTGACTTGACCGTCTTGTAGTCTTGAGGCTCTAAATTCATTTGTGTATTTGAGAATCAAATAAAAATAATTAATTGAACTATAAGAAAAGCGACGTAAGATAACTTATAATTATACGGTTGTAAATAATCACCAAATTATCGGTAGCTATATTAAATACTGGAAACAGAAGCCATTTCCATCTTTTATAAGTAGCCCATCTGTAATTGCTTTAACAAACCACGCTTTGACTTTCATAAACGGTTATACTCATAAATTCAACCATTAAACAAGGAATAAGTTAGGACTAGTGAGAAAAAAAATCATGGCCCAAATCTGATAAGATTTAGTTGCGTCGTTTTCTGTTATTAAATGTCTGTAAACTGAAGTTAACACAGAAATATGTAACTCAAATTATTTCCAAGTAGTTAATTTATACAGTTTTTGTTATAATGTGTATGTAATATGTGTAGTAATATACCATAGAGTTGGCCCCTCATTAGCTCAGTGGTAAGTCTGAAAGGTTATAACACTAAAAAAACCGGGTTTCAATATCCATGGTGGTCACAGTACAGACAGCCCATTGTGTAGTTTTGTGCTTAACGAGAAACGTAAAAGTTGTATTGTTATAATAACATACTTATTTTTAATAAATATCTTTTTATTCTAATTTGAATAGTTAATCTGTACCTGACATTATTAATAATAAAGCGTGTAAAATCTATTTATGAAACAAATATTTAACGTTCTGACTTTTTATGTTAAAAATGTTTTATTCTCTTAAATCAGCCAACAGAAATTATCCTGCCAAGTGGAAGTCGTTACCTCTTGCAGTATGATTCATCGGGAAGCTTACAAGCTGTGATTACCCCCAATGGACACAAGCATGAAATAGCCAAGCAGACGTCTCTCGGATTCTATAAACTACTTTACGTTGCTCCTGGTGTGAAACATCCATACGTTTTACATTTTAATCACCGTGGAGATATAATCGCTAAACTCTACCCAAAAACTAAAGGCCGAGTAGTTTATAATTACGACAAGCAAGGGAAGCTAGAGACTGTCTTCTGTGGTGGTGAGAGGACGGACTATCATTACATCAAAGAGACTGGACAAGTAAAAAATATAGTAAAGAGTGTCACTGATCTCGACTACAGGGTAGAATACAGGTACCACGGTTCTGTCGTAAAGGATGAGAAGCAGCGTTACAGTAGTAGGAGTGGACTAGATGGCGCTAAGATCAAATATCGATATGATGGTCGCCTTTCGTCAGTTCAAGTAGAAGTTAATGGGAAAACCAAAACGGAAACAAATTACCGTTACAATAGTGAAACAGGTTTGTTGGAACAAGTAGAACACTTTCTTGTTCATCGCCCCAAAATAAACAGCATTTTCATTCAAGACGACACGAGGCACAATTCAAAAACAATTGGTATTGATCCATATGGTCGTATTGCTATGTTAGCTATGACCTTGTGGAACAAGGAAGTTTTCTCACTCACTCTACTCTATGATAATCGAAGTCGAATCAAACAGACCCAGTCCAAAATTGGGAAAGATGGGTCTTTTATGGTCACTAACTACACCTACACTATGGATGGATTTCTAGAAAGAATGTCTGGGTCTCAAACTTGGCGCTTTATTTATGACATCAATGGAAACATGAAAAGTGTGTGGGAGGGACTTAGACAAACTTCTCTGCGATATGACGATGGTGACAGACTTATCGGTTATGGGGATGTAGAACTGTATGTTGTTGATGCTCGTGGATTTGTTGTTCAGCGAGGAGAGGAAAAGTTTCAGTTTAACGCCAAAGGTCAACTAACATTGGCTTTTGAGCTCCATCAATATGAAGTGAAGTACTTCTATGACGCTAATGATAGACTAATAGCTCGAAAAGATCATCGAGGCAATATTACTCAATTTCTCTATGCAGATCCTCAACATTCGCACCTCATAACACACGTACACTATCCAAAAAATGACCTGACGTTTGTCCTAATTTACGACACCAACAATCATTTAATATACATGAAGCAGGAAAAAACTAAGTACTATGTTGCTACAGACCACATTGGGACTCCCGTCGCAGTATTAACACCAGAAGGAAATATTATTAAGGAGATGCACCGAACACCTTTTGGAAAAGTTACAACTGACTCTAACCCAGAATTTTTTCTCGCAGTTGACTTTCAGGGCGGCATCAGAGACCCTTTAACTCAACTGATTCACTTTGGTAGTCGGGTTTACGATCCACTTGGAGCACAGTGGTTAACTCCAAGCTGGGAAGACATCCCAAGTTTACTGAGGAAACCATACAACATTCATCTTTATCGTTTTCACAGCAATGATCCAATCAACCCAATTCCTAAACAGGAAGCACATCTGAATGGTAAGGTTAATATTTACACATATTTTATAGTTAATGTGGCACAAAGGATGAAGTTTTTCTGGCGTTAAAGTTTTATAGAGTTGGACGAAAGTTTCTATTTCTGTAATAACTACGTCAATAGATTTACTGCTTTCAGAATAATCGGAATCTAAACATGTCGCTCTCTTTCTTTGACCTACTTGTTTCTTCTTTTCAGTTTCTGGTATATTATTGTTATATGTAGTTATATAAATATATATGCAATTTATATTATAATGGATATATTTTTTCAACTTAAAATCACAGGAGTAAGTTCATCAAACTAGTAATTTCTCAAGACACTTTGAATTTTAGAAGAATAAATAACATTTGTGCTAACTCATATAAGTACATTATTTTTTGTATTTTTAACACAACATGTAAAGATTAGTATAGATTTGTAAGTGTAGATGTTTCTCCTGTATTTCAGAGCTACCAGAATGGTTGACTGCTCTTGGATATGATATGAGCAAAATACTCTTTAAAACAAATCCCTGCATCAAGAATTCGGGTTCGCTGATGTTACAACAAAGTCTACCAGTGATTTCAGGCCTGAGTTGTACAGCTGAGATTGTTACTGATGAGTTCTACAGGTTTAGTACTGTGCCACAGACAGAAGTAAAAGTTGATGGAAATTTCTTGCGTCGGATCAATTCAAGAATTGCCAACCTTCCTTCAGTCCTCGGAGACGGTATTCTTTTGTCTAGACAAAATGATCGCGCTATCGTACAGATCGTCAGTGAAGCTTCCCCAATTCTGAGAGATGTTGTGAATTCTGTGTTTAATGATACTTTTATGATAGACTTCCATTTCTCCCATCATGGACAAGATTCTTTTTATTTTGTGCAACCGGATTTCAGTAAGGCGCAAGAGGACTGGGACCAGCTTCAACGCTTGGGTTCAATGTTTAATGTTACGATGCATCCGGTAAAAGGAAAGTGAAGCACTTCCTGGTATTCCTAAAGTGGACATTCGAGTCCAAAGTACCAGCGTTCTCTTGAATATGCGGTATGGAACAAGCCTTCAAGAAGAGAGATTGCGTTTAGTCGTAGATGCTAGACGTAGAGCCGTTGAAGAGGCATGGCAACAAGAGGTAGCACTAGCTCAAAGCGGTCATCGTGGTTCGAGGGATTGGAGTAAAGGGGAGAGAGAAGAATTGTTATCTACAGGAGCTGTCCCACGGTATTATGGAAATGATGTACATGATACAGATAGATATCCTCAGCTCGCTGACGACCCAACAAATGTTGTTTTTCAAAAGGAAAACTCCAGAAAACGACGAGCTCGGCTCCGCAGAAGACCTGGATAAATTGTTAGAGTTAATAACACCAAAAGGTGTTATTTTCTATTCACTTACTTTAGTGCCATGAACACACTTGTAAATTGATCTGGACTTTTATGAGATGCACCTATCTGTCTATCTATCTATATCTATGTGTCTATCTATATACATAAATAAATAAATATATATATATATATATATACTTGGGACGACATACGTTGGCCAAATCATACAATACCCAAGTAGACATTAAGAAGGAAGAGACCCATCTTATGAATCCGTTAAAGGAAGTCGACAATATATCTTGAAATTGCGTAAGCGGTAGTGTGATCGCAAATTTTGAGAGACAATTGAGTGCAATGGGAACTTAGTCAAGTTTATTAATTTCAATTATATCTGAAACAAAATCATTAATGCTCTTACAGAAAGGCAACATTTGCTTGCAAATATTTTTGAAAGATTTCTGAAGCATTACATTTTTTTGAAATGTGTGTGTGTTCAGAATAGACTTAAGGGAACATAAATTGATATAAATTGGTGTGTCGGATGTTTGTTGAACACGACTGTCATCGATCGTTTACAATGATTATTTAATTTTCCACGCGTAACAAATTGTGAATGGAGCCTCTCGTTTTTCTGCCATCAAGTCCAGGCTATATGAAAATTGAATATTATTGTGTCTCAAGGTAAAATAATTATTATTCAATTTACTTAAAAACAAGTTTACAAAAACTGACAGTGTCTCTTTTAAGGTATTTATCAAAAACATATTGCATTTGCAAGTACTTGCTGAAAGCCTGTAGTGACTAGGTCTAAAGCATACCAAGATGTTAAGAGGCGAATTAATTTTTCCTTATCACTAGTCACGTGTTAGTTTTAGCTCTGAATGGTATTGTAATGCAGGATCTTGAGCACCCGAGATAATAAATACTCCCCTTTATGTATATTATATCATGCTGAAAGTAAAGCTGTAATTAATCTATGTTTATAATATTGTGGAAATATATAGTATATAAATACATTCAGATATATCTCAGTTTGCATGAGAAATATTATGCTTATCAAGATCTGCAGAGCCGTGATGCTTTCAAGTAATTCATGTTTAAGCTATTTGTTTTCCTTTCGCCAAGAGCCTGTATGGAATTGTTTCCCCATATATCTCATGAGCAGACTTAGTTGTGTGCTTGTGTACGAAACTGTATGGTGTGTACATAAATGTGCTATTCTTCTAATTGGCATTGTTTTACCCAGGAGCGAATATTATGTTCGGAAATAAACTTAACCAAGTCCCAACAAGAAATGGTAAGTTTGCTTCTTCCACAACTTTTTTTATCTTAAAGTTATTTGATGCTAAGTATTAAGTTTAATCAAAAGCTATGTAATAACCTAAACTTTTGAAATGAATGTCCTGTGCGATCTCGTATTCTGTCAGTGTGGCTAAAACTTCCAAGTGCCTTACTTCCAACCACTCCCTATACAGTTCACTATCCTTCAGAGCTCTACTCCTTTATGCACTCACTATCTTTTCTCACTCTAAGCTTCTAACGGGGGAAAAAATCAAGTCACTGGTGCCAAAGATGAATGAGAAGTTATACCAGCCTAACCGCCGGCTTATTGAAGCGTTATATAAATACCTAGTTCCCGGCGTTGTCTTTTTTGTTTGCTTTCCGCAACAAAATGCTGATTTATGTCCATGTTTACCATAGAGCGATATAGTGTGATTAAGCTATTGTACAGTAATCCTAATTATGCTGTGAAAAATTCCTTTATTTGTACTTAAAAGTTGTCAGTCAAACAGGAAAAATATGGTGAAATAAAATTTATGTTAAGCTTGAATTATGTCTAGTGATAGTTTTATTTTACTTAATGTACATTTTAAAATTGATTTTAAAACCTGTTAAATATTTGTGTGTTTCAGCACTCTGAGTGAGTCCTTTTATTGTGTTAAGTGCATTTAAAATAATGAATATAAAAAATATCAGCGAATAGGTATGCTTGAACACAGGGATTTAAGACCAATCAATTGTGAGTGATTATGTGGGGTAATAAGCTGTGTAATCCCAATCGACTCAGAAGTAGGTAACGGTTTCTCTACATCTATTCAGATAATGCAACTGGACCACAAATGTTTCTCAGTTCGAAGAACAAAAAGAGTAAAACAGAAATGTGAGTTTTGACTACACTATTAATAAGTTATCATCCCTGGCTACATACTTTAAAGAAACAATTACATAGCACTAAAGCACTAAATGTCAGGGTTCGATTCTTGCTATAGGCACAGCACAGATAGCCCGTTTAAATGAAACTTTTGGCTTAATAACAATCTAATTCTTTGGGACTTTCCTAACAAACACGTATGATCAAATTATACTGGTCATTTGACGTGCCAGTTGAGTTCTTGAGTTTTATAAACACAAACGTGCAGTCTGAAACACAATGAGAAAGAGTAAAGAAAGATCTTTCTGGCTTATTTTTATTGGATGGACACCTAGCAGGATTGTTGTTATAAAAGGTAGTTTCTTTCACAGGCCACTATTTCTTTAACAGGTGTCAGCATTTCTGGCTTTTGAAGTAATTCTCTCATACCGTATAATCGTTTTTGTCTTCATGTTATGGTTGGAAAGAATGAATTAATTATAAATAGGAAAACACCGTCTCAATAGTGTCTGAAGCGTAAATTATTAACAATGAATGACTGGAAGCTTATAGTGTGATTCACTGAGTAACGATTCACTGTTTTCTGAACTAAGTGTTAGTAAAAACATTAAAAGTAAACACATGATGTACTTGACCTTACTTTGGTTGTTTCAATAGTACAAGTGGCTGAAGGTGGTGTGATAGTTTTCGAAGTGTTCTTCTTTCATGGATTGGGTCTTTTGATACATTTTGAAGGACGAACAACATTTAGAGTATACGGAATCTTGTTGCCAGTATTGACCATTTCAAACTTATGTATAACATCTAGAGTGTACGGAATGTTGTTACCAGTCTTGGCCATTTCAAACTGGTGTATAACATCTAGAATGTACGGAATGTTGTTGCCAGTCTTGACCATTTCAAACTGGTGTATAAAACATTCCGTACACTCTAGATGGTTACCAGTCTTGATCATTTCAAACTGGTGTATTTGCATTATGAAAGGTTAAGAGATTTTCGACGATGATAGTACAACAATCTAACACATTCGTATTGTGCGGAATTCTAATTTCATCTTCCTTTGGCAGCAAAATAATAAAATCTCACCCTAATTAAATATCTTTGAGAGTAAAGTTACCGTCGCCTTCTTAACTGTGAAATCACCGACGCGTGTGAACCAACTATAAACTATACACCTCGACAAGCGGGCTGTAAACGGAACAATACACCTTCCATTATCACGTAGAGTTTAATTCATACCGAATTGGACATTATCGTAGCAAAAGACGGCCTACTCCGATGTAAGGTGGGATTATAATAATGTTCCAGTCAGTATAACTCCACAAGATGATAGTTTGTGGAAACAAACTAACTACCATTACAGTATAAATATATGAAATTATATTAGGTATCTCAAACTCGCTATTATGACCAGCTTAAAAATAAAGGTATGAATTCTATAAGCTCAAACTTTACAAGCAAAGAAAATTCACACAAAATACCTCAATAATTGATCAAATCATTGTAAAGTAAACGAATGCATATACTAACGTTACATACTTTTAAAAAAAGAGCATCCAAACTTTATATTTAGCATTTTCAAAACACGATATAACAATGATTTTCCTGAAGTACTGAACAAGATCAGTATTTCACTGTAACTAAATTGAGCTATGAAACAAGTTGTGTTCAAAGTTTCTGTATTTACCTTTATCTATATGTTTGGAAATACTGATAACCATACAGGTTAATAAATTGAAAAATAGAAACACCTCCACTTCGACTAATGAAGTCTAACAACCAGTTCTTTCCATAATATGTATTGACTATCGAACATCGTATTGCCTGGAAAACCTGAACTTCAATTAATAAGGCCTAAAACGTTATAAATCAGGAAGATAAAAGAAACATAAAATAATTTTAAGCCATATATATAAACAATGAACAAATATGAGTTAAAATGTGATTAATATAAGCTGATCTGGACAGTTATGTAACAAGTTCACGTTGGACAGTTGAACTGATAGAGTTTTATAGAAAGCATGTATTGAAACACTGTTAAAAATGTTCTGAGACTTATCTGAAGTATCGCAAGTTTGGCGAAGCACTGATCTTTAAAAAAATAAAAGTTGAAGATTAACTGCTGTTATCAATTTTTATAAAATAAATGATGTTTGAAGAAGTGACTAGAAGTCCTTATAATTAACAGAAAATAGTTTATTTATAACCTTATACGATCAACTGAACTCACAAACAACTTGTTCATATAAAACACATATAGTATAAAGAACTTTCAATGTCAAATCCTGTACTATTTTAATATTTCTAAAATAGCGTGGGTTAATCCTTTAGCATGAATGATGGATGGTAGGATGCTGCTGATTGGCTACCTTCCTTCTGGTCAGTAGATCAAAATTAGGGATGGCGGCAGATAATCTTAGTAATGTTGCCATAAATATATAAAAACAAATGCAATATTTCGAAGAATTTCCTTATATTTTTTTGCTCAAAAATAAAGATCAAATTAGCGTTTATAATTTTAAGATGCTACATGATTTATTATTCATCTTTTTTTTTAGGTTTTTAAGTAACACCTTGCACACAAACATTGGAAACATTGTTAAATTAAACATTTAAGCAATTTGTGTTATTTGTTTGTTCGTATGATTTCACTTTATCATGTTTGACAACGTCTTACCCGAATAATTTCGAAATCAGATATTGTATGCCTTTCACTGTATGTAATATTTAAAAACAGTTTGTTAAGTTAAAACAAAAGAAGCACTCATAACTTAAAATAATTTATCTTATATTCGCAAGTGTTCCTGTGTGCACTTCCCCTGAGGAAAAAATGGTTAAGTCTAGTCCAAGTGGTCCTTCACAACCCGTTGGATCTTTGGAAGATTATACTCTATTTTCAACATCGACTTAACTAGTCCTTTAGGAGTTCAATTTAATACAGCAATGTTTTATCTGCGAGTGAAACACATTAACTGTTTTATTGTAGTGTTATTTCTTAAAGTAAAGTATACTAATCGTAAATGATTAAATCAGAATTTTAACATGCTGGAGTCCATCGAAAGAAATGCATAAACGAAAAGGCACTATGTTACATAGATTGGTAGCAAGTAGGGGCAATTCAGTATTCATGAAAATAATAAAGTATTTTTATATTTGCACACCAATGACTGCTTCGTTTTATAATTTATATTTTGCTACAACTCATGTACTAATATATAATTTTATTTTTGTATTCCATGATAGTTTTTTTCGTACTGTTACTTTGGGTTAGGAAAAATAACTAATAAATAGCTCTGCATTTCTACATAAAGAAAAACAAGCATACAATGAGGTGAAAGAACAATTCAACGTGCTGCGATTTAGTAAATTGATAGAATAAATGTACATATGACGATTCTATCTGAGGTGGAACATTTATTCAGAAATGTCTTTTCATGTGCAAACTTAATATAATTTTGATTTATGGTTTAAAAAATAATAATCCAAATTAGCTGGAAGGTACAATTTCAAGAAATTGTTTGCAATGAATACATAACAAGGATGTTGTTTTTTTAATACATAAACTGCAGACATTTTCCTTCTTATTCCTTTTTGGCTGTCATCAGTCATGAGTGATTTTCTATCAGTGAGGACACCACACAGAATGATGTTAGTTGAGTGTTACCATTGTTTATTTCACGTTTACGAATTTTGCTCTTTTCCAAGTAAAATTCGTTTGTGTGTCTTTGCTTCCTTTCAAACATTGGTGACTAATGAAAATATACAAAGGTTTGCGATTGATTTTAGTCTAGATGTTACAGGTTCTTTAATTACCTAAAACCTGTTGAAACGATTTTAATCACATTCCAAATCTCTAGATGAGATTAGCTTTACTTTGATCTTTCTTTTTTATTATTTACTCTGAGCTTAAAGTATAAAGTATTGAATAAATTTGTTGTTTACGTTCATTGAATTATTTTTGCCAACCATAAAACGGACAGTAAGTTATTGCGGACAATTGCAAAAGCTCTTGGTGATTAGGTTTTGATTGCATATTTCAAGACTTGCAGTTCTGTTCGTTAAATGTTTAGGTAAACTCTACTTCCAAACTTAGTTTCAAATACTTCCCCAGTACTTGCTGGCCATACGGTTTAATTTCTTCAATGAAATATTTATGTAATTTACGATATAAACTGAATTCTAGTGTTTCTTTCTGGACTACTTAGAATAAATATTTATGCAAATTTTCAATGTAATTCCATATTGTTTTTTCATCAGGGGAGTATTTCAAAGAGCTCAATTTCTATTTATCTAAGGAATTATATTTACATAAAATATAACAACAATAAGTAAGTATCTGGATTAAACTCAAATTTACATTTTTAACCCCACCAAAGTTTTGATAGATTTTAGTTATTAATTTTCAAACCTTTTTTTTTTCGTAAAAAGAAAACTCTTAGTGAAGGAATATGTATACGAATATTAAGCTTATCATTTCCTCATGAGGTCATCAACTAGAGAATTTCACTTGCTAACCATCGGACATTTAATGACGAAAACATATATGAAATTATTTTAACTTTTCCTTCTAAACATTAGGTTTATATGACTTTTGTGTTCATACAAGAGATCCTTTGATAAGAAAAGTACCGAAAGGAGTCAACTAAGGACTTTTTTTAGAAGACTCTGCCTTCTTATCA